CCCACTGGTTGCTAAGGTTTATTACCTAATCAGTTATTTCAGTTTTAAAATTAAATTAATGGAAATGGATGCATTTGATGTTACTAAAAATATTAATCAGATGTATGAGATCCCTGATAAAATATTAACAACTTGTTTACAAAGCTGTCAAATCCCTTGTACTGTTTTGTATGGGCTGGAAAGTGTCTTTCTGAATGGCACTTAAAAAGCAATAAAGAGTAAACCCTAATGTCTTTTCCTCTCAAGACAACATCAATCCTCACACTTTTTTTTTTTTTTTTTTTTTTTTTTTTTTTTTTTTTTTTTTTTTTTTTTTTTTTTTTCTCCTGTGGTCTAATGTAGGATGAAAACTAAAGCTTGAAAGCTTTTTTTTCCTTGGCATTTGGCAGACCTCTTCTAATAGCCTGGCTATAAAGAAGCATCTCTCTTCCTGGGCTGAGGCTTTTTCAAGCATTAAAGCTGAAAATTAGGGTTTCACCTTATGTCATCTTTGAAGTGCTTCCTAAATGGCAATATTTTTATAAACAAGCAGCTCATCTGGTTACTTTTATATCAATATCATCCAGGAGTCCCTAGCTTGGCCAGCATTGATTGAAACATGAGAAGCTTCTAGTTATGGGTTGTCAAGTCTAGTATTTGTGGCGTATGAATTGTCCTCATCTTTCAACAACTGCTCAAATCCATCCTTAAAAGGCAAGAAAGAACACAAGTCAATCCAAAAGGCATGTGGTAGCAGCATGGTCATCATTGGCTAATTACTTTTTCATCTATAATTAGTTAAGTTTTAGTAGAAACTAGTCAAGAGCTACCACTGGCTTTATGAATCTTCCATCTAGTAAGTCATAATTGCCTTTCCTCAGTGCATATGAGGGTATTTCTTACAAAGCAGCTAGAATACAGGAATAGTGCACGTGGTACTGGACTACTTATGTTCTTTGCTTGAAAAGTAAATAGGTAAAAGATGGCCCTGTGATGAGGCCATCCTCAAGGCATAACCATTTAAGTAAGAGGAAGGATATGAACACATTGTAGGTCTTATTTCTGTTTCTGTGTTTCAAGAATCCAGATGAGCCAGTTTAAAAAAAAAAAAAAGTGAACATTTGCTGTAAGTTCACAAGGATTTTAATGGAACCTGTAATCATGGAACATCTGGAAACAGACCTGGAACATGGAAAAGATTGATTAAAAGAATCTGTGCTACATAGCTTTGCAAAGTGGAAAAGGCATTTCACTGAACAAAAATGTAAGAGAAGATGAGTCTTGGAAATAACTGAAACAGAGAAATGTGTAATATTTTCACCCTCTGTGATTTTTTGTATTGATGATGATGTGCACAATTTTCTTATTTCCTGAAGCACTCCTGGTATAACTGGTAAAGCTAGTCACCTGTTAAAGTCTTGGATATTTTCAGGACTACTTGATCTAAAATTAGTTTTCTTACCTGAAGAGTACCTGACTGTACTATTTTGACAAGTTTGTTATTTGTTATGATTGTAAGTTTTGTATTATAAAAATCCCCAACAATATTCTGCCAGGTCTTCAGCTGAGTCAACAGCTTTCTGAAATGGCACTGATGATGGCAGTAACCCTTTGCATATTAAGTTGAAGATCAAGTAGAGATCTGTTAGCTTGTAGGTATCCACAGCAGTTTACTATATCAAGCCCCCTTGCTATGTGTTTGAATGAGCTTGCATGCATATCAGTTTTTAAACTACCAGGAAAAGCTGAAATGTCGTAATTGGTGAAAGCTGAAAATACATTAGGAACCAAGTTCTCTGTACTCCTTAAAATTCTCTTGCAAACTTGAAATAACAATTAATTTTATTTTTCAACACTTACTTCAGGTTGGATTACACTATTATTCATGTTACATATTATAATTTTTGCATAATATGCTAGCTGTGTGTATTTCAGTTCTTACAACTATTTCCACTGACCATTTGGAGAATACTGTTGAGCAGACGTGATGCATAGGGAAGGCTTTAGAGAGATTATTCTGTCTTTCTACATTAGACCTTTTGCTGAAGGAGCTCTTTACGTTCTACTGTCAGATACAGGATTAGTAAAGTGATACTGTTGATACCTCAAGTCAAAGAAAATAAGGTTTGTTTGGTGGGTTGACCTTGGCTGCCCACGAGGTGCCCACCAGGCCACTCTGTTATTCTCCCTCCATCAAAAGGACAGGGGAAAAAAACATGATAAAAAGCTCGTGGGTTGAGATAAGTACAGGGAGATCACTCACCGATTACCATCACAGGCAAAACAGACTCTACTTGGAGAAATTAAATTAATTTATTGCCGATTAAATAGAGTAGGATAATAAGAAATAGGAACAAATCTAAAAACCACCTTCTTCCTACCCCTCCCTTCTTCCCAGGTTCAACTTCACTCCTGACTTCTTTACCTCCTTGCCCCAAGGGGTATAGGGGGATGGTGAATGGGGGTTGTGGTCAGTTCATAATGCTCCATCTCTGCTGCTCCTTCCTTCTCACACTCTTCCCCTGCTCCAGCCTGAGCTCTCACCCATGGGATATGGTCCTTCATGAACTGCTCCAGCATAGGTCCCCCATGGGGTCACAGCACCTGCAAGAAAACCTGCTCCAGCATGGGCTTCTTTCCACAGGGCCACAGCTCTGGCCGGGAGCCTGCTCTAGTGTGGGCTTTCCATGGGCTGCAGCTTCATTTAGGGCATATCTGCCTTCTCGGGCGTGGGCTCCTCCACGGGCTGCAGGTGGATATCTGCTCCACTGTGGACCTCCATGGGCTGCAGGGGGACAGCCTGCCTCACCATGGTCTTCCCCACGGGCTGCAGGGGAATCTCTGCTCCAGCGCCTGGAGCATCTCCTCCCCCTCCTCCTTCACTGACCTCAGTGTCTGCAGGATCGTTTCTCTCACATATTCTCACTCCTTTCACCGGCTGCAATTGCGGAGCTTTTTCCCCCCCTTCTTAAATATGTTATCACAGAGGTGCTACCATCATCGCTGAGTGGGTCCGCTTTGGCCAGCAGCGGCTCAATCCTGAAGCTGGCTGGTATTGGCTCTGTCTGACATGGGGGCTGCTTCTGGTGTCTTCTCATACAGGCTGCCCCTGCAGCCCCTCTGCTACCAAAACCTTGCCACGTAAACCCAATACAGTTTGAAATAACTTATTGTTCATGTTACTTATGTTTTTATATTTTGCTTTTCAGAGGGCAGATGATTTCAGGTGAAGACTGTGAATTTATTCAAAGATTTGAACAGAAAAGGAATCCAGAAGAAAAACAGGAGTTGTTGCAAACAGAAGGCAATCAAGTAACTTTCCTTTCTTTTAATAATCTGTCTTTTGGGGAGGAGGATGGAAGGAAATTTTCATACCAACTCTATTTTATTGTTGGCTGTATACAATTAAGATGTTATGGAAGAAGTATAAAACTTGCTATTATGATTTTATTTTTCCTAGATATAGGTTGGACATTCTTTTAAAAGCTATTAAATATTTATTAAATGTCATCTGACTTTGACTCTGTTGTGGGACAAGCTAACTCAAGTCTTTCCTCATCCTAGTTTACTTAATCATGCACACTGGTACTTGAGTCACTTTTTTTTTTTTTTTAGCTGTTTTCCTTAGTTTATTGATGAAAGCTACTACCAGTAAGATTTCTGCTTAGCTACTTGAACAATTACAAGGTAGTTCCAGCAGTAGAGCCCACTGACTGCTAAGGTGAATTCAGTTAAACGCAGGTGTCTAGTGTCATTTTATGCACAGTAAGATATGAGACATCTGCATTGGATGGAGCCCATATAAGATTGATAGGTGACCCATGCTCTTTGGCTTATGGAGTCCAGGAAGGATGCCCAAAGACAACTTAATGACATTTGAAACAGTAGAATCTCAGCCTTGAAGCCTATGGTTCTAGCAGACCATGTCAGACATCAAGAGGATTGCGGGAGGCAGCGGGGAAGGTGAAGAGTAGGACATGCACTCAAGACACACAACTTTCCAGACCTTTTTTTCTACTTTAATTTAGGCTGTTCTGTGTTTTGTTTCGTTTTTTTTCCCTCCCAAATTGTATTGTGTGACTGCTATGTAATGGACCATAATTTGCATAGTGACAAAAGCATATATGGTGAACATTATATGCCACTATATAATTATGGTGTAGCAGTTCAGAGTTCCATTTTTCTTTCAGTTTTAGTTGAATGTGGTGAAGGGGAAGGAGGAAGTGTAAAAAGTAGTGTTGTGACTGTTACAGCCTATTATATCTGTTGCTGAAATTGTAGAGTAGAGTTGTTCAGGGGCAGAAAACAGCTCAAATAGGAACAAAGATTTTCCTACAAGGTACAGGAAGTGAACAGGTAAGAGTGACCTGTGTTCCCTCCCTCCCATTCAAGTTGCTGAAACTTTCTTATACCATGTCTGAGTTGTAGCTGTTTTGTCAACTTACTTGGTTCATCTCCTCACTGCCATAAAAAAAGGATGCTGATGCAGATTTTTCTAATCAGTCTTTCAAAAAAGCACCTTGCCGACTTTCACTAGTGAGTACTTGTTATTTCATTTGAAAGCCATAATACAATTTGTAAAGGGTAACAATCAATGTGCCAGAAAATTTTCTTTGTAATATGTCAAATGTGTTCATCTCTTATTGCGATTGGAGAAGATGTTGGGATGCTCAATGATTATGTAAGACTTAACTGTGAATTAATGAGGTCCTATTTTATATTATCAAAAGGAATGAAGACAATTGCTAGTATTAATTTTAATGTCTCTTATTTTTCTAGTGTGCTAAAACATTTATAAACTTGATGACTCATATCTCCAAGGAACAGACGGTTCAGTACATTCTGACAATGGTTGATGATATGCTACAAGTAGGTCAATAACCTGTCTTAATTTTAAGTCTTTAAATGCATGCTTGAATGTTTCCTTAGCCTAATTCAGGTCTCTTCAGGTGTTTCTCATACTGTATTAAGAATACTGTTTTAAATTTTCAGATCTTGTCTTCAGAAATTAAATGTTAGACCTAAAGTTGTATGAGTAACTTAGTCTTGTATATGTATGTTCATATTCTCAAAATAAAACATGCCTGTATGCTTGTCTGTCAGCTCTCAACCATGTATGATGCAAAACTTGGATGTTAAGGGATGATTTGTGACCTCAGACCTTTCCTGTTATGTAGATAGGATATGACTTCTAACTTAAAGTTCTTGAAGCTTTTCCTATGAAAGTGTTAATTTGGCCACCCTCAGCAAGAAGGTGTAGTTTCTGCAGCTTCAGGTTTCCAACATAAGTTAGACTGTTTAGGACAACATGTTCTGAAATCCTGCATGGTTTAAATATAAACCAGGAACTCCTGATTCAATGAAATATATATTTCTCTGTAGCTATGTGATACAGTGGCTTTTAAGAGTAGGCTATTAAATTTAGTGTCACAAATGCTGTGCTGACTGGAACAAGTCAAGAGGAGACTTTACTTAATCAGATAATCCTGCTTTTGCATTTCTTCGCTCTCTAGTAGACTAAGAGAAAGTGGTTGGAGTGATGATGTAACAAGACGGGTTCAGTTGAGCGAGGTTTTCTCCTGGTATTCATGTAGAATATTTGGCTGTTTGACAGTTTCTCTTCTGCTGTTTTATGTTATATTTAATACAAGGTTACAGTGAAATGTGTCTAGTGATAATAGTTTAGGGCATTGCCCTAGGAGGTGAACCATGCAAGTTCTAATTCCAGCTCTGAGTGTTCAGTATTGTCAATAGGCAAGTTGAAAAGTGTGAACCTCTCCATGGTATGTATAACATGGGGATTATGGTGTTCTTCCAGGTGCCTGTCTGCACATTAGAGTCCTGAGTGAATGCCCTGACTGCTAGAATAATAGCTAGTGGTGGTGGTGGCAGTTTATTCATGCCCATCTGCAGCTTTGTTACTTAACCCTCTTCCTCTCCTCTTTAGGTGTACTTTTTCTCAAGTGTGACACAAACATGAAGAAGCAGAGAAGACAAAAGGGAGCTTCAGTGTTATTCCTTGATTAGGACACTGAGTTGGGAGTACCTTGTTTGGTTTACATGTTTGATGATAAAGATTGTCTTAGTGTGTGAGAATTCTGTTTATTATGGCTACTTTTGTGACGAATGGGTCTCTTTTTCTGTGTGAGACATATTGGTGGCCACAGAAGTAATTGTTTCACTTGCCCTTCTTTGGAACTTTTCGTGAGCATTAGTAGGTCTTGTTTTGCTTATGTGCTTTGACTTAGCACATAGCCTATAGCTACAGTATGCCATAAATGATATAATTTCCAGTGCTGTGGAATTAATACCCCACAGGTAAAGGCTTTCACTGGCCCACTCTTGAACAATTGTATTAGTTCTAGGTGGTCACAGAAGGTAGTTTTGAGTAATCTCTTATTTGCCATATTGGTTCTGTCTAGGTGAATGTGTTTTCTTGAGTTTATGGTGATGCACTGACATTTCTGTATTCAGGGCCTTACCCTGCTACAGAAGTGGCATGTGTGGAATTCTTAATGTTAAACATAATGACTTTAAATTGTCCAGGCTTTATAGTGATACAGGAGAAAGAGATGTTGGTGCACAGTATATATGTGCTTTTGTTTGAAATTGGATGCCTTCTTCACTTTAGAAATTCTGTTTCAGTGTCTGAAAGGCTGCATTGGCTTTTGCAATGCTCTGTGTGATTTCGTTCTTCAGGGATATCTTGCTGCTGGCATAGAGGGCTTGTGTGCAGGCATCTGCATGGCGTCATCCCAGGGCTTCCTAACCCTCCATGTGTCCACTAGGCAAGGCTGAAACAGGACTTCTCTTTTCTTTTGGTCATGTTCAGGTGGTAGAACATGCTGTCAGTGATGCCTTCTGGACCCTCGGTTGCACACTTTCAAGGTGTGAGATTCTTGTCAGAAAGCAGCATATTGGCCATTGACTCTGTGACTGAGTTTAGTGCAGGGTCTCTGCAGACTGCATGGACAGAAGGATACACAGTAGTGGATATGAAGTCTCCTGTCTTTGCCCAAGTAGTCTAAATTCAGTACATGCAAAGATTTTAAGTGAGCAATTGTTCAAGGATATGGCCTGTCATGGTGCCACTGGCTCTTTCAGTAAAATTGTTTTGAGCAAAGATGTTCACTGCAGTTTCAGGAAATGAACAAATAATATTTGAAAGCTACTTTTGATAGCTGAAACTTCTAGAAACTATCATACATAGCAGTATCCAGCTTTTGTCTGTGTTGGTAATGACTGTCTGTGGTTCTTCTATTATCTTTCTGTGCTTTTCTTGTGAGGTTGTAAAAATCATATTAACTGTGTTTTGAGCACACCAAAAGCCTACCTGGGTGTCTAGGATTGTTCCTGCAGTTCTACTTACGGATTTGATCATCGTTCTAAGAAAGATTTCTTTTGGAGGCTGGCAGATTAATGTGGTGATTGCCTTATAAGAATATCACCATTCTGTTTATTTCTGAAGGTGGAGAGTGTTAGCATACTGGAGTCTCTGAGGAAACATTTATTATTCTATTCATATGATAAATACTTGGAACAATTTTTCTGGATTAGTGACCTCATCACACTGTACAGTCTGTTACTTATAAAATCTTTAAGAACCTGCACCATAGTTGCTGAAGGTAGCAGTACTACCCAAGTGAGCTTCATTATGCTTTTTCAAAAATGACAGAAGCTAAATTATTCAACTGTTGATGTGAGAGCTTCAGGATTTCCTTTTTATTGGTATAGTCAGTAGCTGCCTGGGAAGGTGCAGCATCACGTATTTCAGGGCCGTAGGCAGTTCTCCACTCCTTCCCTCCCATCTTTACCCCTCACCTTAACAGCAAACCAGACTAGTCTTCTGATTGACAGCATGTTGAAATTATTTCAGCTTGCCTGCTTCCAGACCTGTCTGTCATCTCTAACAGAATTTGTTTGATTGAACTGCCGTTTTTCATCAAACTAGCCCTCACAGAGCAGAGGCTCTCCACCAAGGCACTGTGTTCCTGAGATCTTACTTTTTTTTTTATTTCATAGTTCTAACAACAAATTTTTAGAGGGTTTTTGAGTGCTTTTTGACACATACCATATAGAGCATTAATCACTGTAAGGGTTATGACTGCCAGATAACTAGTGACACCTCACCTTCCCCAGTCAGTGATCAGGACAGCAATTTGCAGCCCATGTGGTGCAGTAACTTTGATACTTTCAATGAAGAGTTGGTTGCAACTCTGATGCTTAGTAAGAAGCCAGTGTTTGGATCATGGATACATTCAGGTCATCTTGTGCTTAATGAATTGTATTCCAACAAGCAGGCTTGCCTAGCTGATTCTTGGTCCATAGAGTTAATAATAGGGTGCTGAACTGATGGAAGAAAGCCCTTCAGCTAGGGAAGTTTGAAAATTAAATTCACTCGATAGTGGAGACTGAGGTACTGTTCTCATGCCAGTTTCCCAGTTACAGTACTTCAAACAGTTTTGCCTTCCTTCATATGAGTTGTATACTTGGTTATAGTAGTGTGACTTCAATGGGGAGACCTCTCTTTAGAGTGAAACTTACTATCCACCAGGCTAGAAAGTATATGGAAATGCTGAGGAAAAGCAAGAATCCAGGTATTTGATTTTCTGGATGACTGTCTATGTTCTAGGCTACTGGGAAATAGCGGAGCTCCTCTTTCTCCTTCAGGTTTGCATGGCCTCTTCTCTGGTCTGCTTTAAGGAGAACCATAATAGCTGCTTTTCACAGTGGTTATTAGGTGAAATGCTTGAAGAAACTGCACAGGGCCCAGGTTCAGGTACTTGTGGTCTCTTATGGTTCAGCCTAGAAGCCCTGGAGAACAGACTTCTGGTAGCTATGTCCTCTCCTAGGTATGCAGGTTGCCTGAGATAACAGCTGAATCAGTTGCAGCCTCATGTGGGAGAGGAGAGCTCTGATAGGACAAGGAGCAATGGCTTTAAACTGAAAGAGGGTAGATTTAGATTAAATATAAGGAAGAAGTTCTTCACTGTGAGGGTGGTGAGGCACTGGAACAGGTTGCCCAGAGAGGTTGTGGATGCCCCATCCCTGGAAGTGTTCCAGGCCAGGTTGGATGGGGCTTTGAGCAACCTGGTCTAGTGCAAGGTGTCCCTGCCCATGGCAGGGGGGTTGGAACTAGATGGTCTTTAAGGTTCCTTCCAACCCAAACCATGCTATGATTCTATGATTGCCATTGAGAGGAATGGAGAGGCAGGGCTAGCTTACGTCTCCGAAGTTCCACTTGTACCACACGCAGCCAAACTGAACAACAGGCTTTTGTGTGGAAGTAGCAATATGTAGAAAACTTTGTGTGGACTTTATTCAAGTGTAATTGATTGCGTAGTGTTTGTCTGGGAAAAGACAGTATTTAGCTTGTCTCATTTCTCTCATTCTGCTTGCTTGATCAAAAGGATATATCCGTTTTTACTCAAGCAGGTGTTGGAGTACTGAGATACAACTAGGGTTTCAAAGTTTGTTTCCCCCCATCCCAAATCTCTAACCTTAATTGTTGCAGTGCTGAAGTGAACTGTATCCACAAGTAACTGTTGAACTGAAAAGTTTCCATGGGCTGTTACAAGCCAGGATAGACTCTGATAATGTATGCCAACATAATGAGGAGCAAATAACTGCCTTATGTTGAATGCTTTTACAAGTCTGTCATCTTTTCCTCTCTCCCAATTTTTACAGGAAAATCATCAGCGTGTTTGTATCTTCTTTGATTATGCAAAACGTGGTAAAAACACTGCATGGTCCTATTTTCTGCCAATGTTGAATCGACAAGATCTTTTCACTGTGCATATGGTAAGTTTCAAATGAACCTGTCTCTAAAAATGGTAGAGAAAAATGCTGGTTTTATTTTTCTTCAGGAGATTTTGGAGTTTGAAGGTAAACTACTGCCTGGACTGGAAAGTTTTCCTCTTGCAGTCTAGATGAGTCATTCTTTAGATAAGCTTCACTTGACCACATTTTAGAAAGAAAAGTTACATTGTTTATTGACACTGTTTTTTCTGGGAGATAGAGCAGGTTACATAAATAGAAAAATAACTTTTGTCACAACTGCCAGTCAGTGCTCCTCATGCTGTACAAATATTAGAATTTAAGTTCTCATCCTGTGGAAGGGAAAATATCTTTACCTTGATGAATTTATACTCTCATATGCTCAAATTAGTACAGTGCCACTTGAAATCTGCTTAAAACGGTTTGTAAGCATACTGGGGAAGAAATAATGTCTGCTGTTGTGGTGGGTTGACCCTGGCTGACAGGAAAGCTCCAACCCAGTTGCTTGCACAGTCCCCCACAGCGGGGCTGGGGAGAGAATCAGGAGGGCAGAAGTGAGAGAACGCATGGGTCAAGATAAAGACAGTTTAGTAAGTGAAGGGGAAAAAAAGGGGTGTGTGGGGTGGAACCCTAAACAAATCCAACAAAAAGAGGTGATGCAAAAGCAATTGCACAACACCAGCAGACTGATGCCCAGCTAGTGTATCTCTGGTCAGCTGTCCTGGCTGTGTCCCCTCCCAGCCTCTTGACCTCCCACCCAGCCTGCTCACTGGAAGTGTAGAGTAAGAAACAGAGAAGTCCTTGATGTTGTGCAAGCACAGCTCAGCAGCAGCTAAAATGTTGGTATGTTATCACCACTGTTTTGGTCACCAGTCTAAACCACAGTATCATATGAGCTGCTGTGCAGAAAATTAAGTCCTTCCCAGCCAAAGCCAGTACAACCATGTGCGTTGTATGGTATGTGCTGTGCTTTGAGCAGCTGGGTACTGCTGGTGTATATGGAGTAACTTTTCTGGAATTCTTAATATTCTTCTCTCTTCTGTGGAAAGAACTGCCCATTTCATCTCAGTGGGGTTTTTTTCCTTTTTGGGGAAAAATATGGTTGCATTACTGTAAATTCCTAATGGACGCCATAGTTTCCACCAATAAAACTTGTATTATGGCTTGAAGAGGCAGAAAACTGCATGGCTATGAATTGTTCTTCACTGCATATGTTTGTGCTGGCATGGTATGGTAGAATCAAATCAGTGGCTCAAACTACAAAACCACATACCTGGCCTGCATTATGCTGTGGTGGCAGTACTGGCACAAGGAATTCCAGGCAAGTCATGCTGTTTGCCCTTAGGTGTGGCCAGTGCAACTGTGTTTGGGGCTGTGCTGCGACTTGAGCAATGAGCTGGCACGTTTTCAAGAAAAATGTCAGGCTTGATTGTTTTTTTTATTTATTTTTTTTTAAATCTGACTGATTCACTGCATGCTGTGGAATCAGGTTACTTGGTGCTGCTGAAGGAGAAGGCTGTTGGGGTTTTTTGGTTGGTGGTGTTTTTTGCGTTTTGTTTTTTTGTTTTTTGTTTTTTTTGGCAGTATTGCTGCTGAAGACCCATTTTGCAGAACTGCAGTCTGAGCAAGCTCGGACAATATTAACTTCTCAAGTATGCAGCTAAAGTGTAATTTTTAGACCTCTGCAGTGCAAAATAATTAGTCTCCCTGGAATGGTGGCTTTCAAATGTGTAGTACAGAAATTTCTATGTCCAGTATTTCTCTGCTCACAGATGTGTTATTCAGATATTGTTTTCTTTAGGTACTGCAAAAATACACAAATAACTTCACAAGCCACAGAGAACCTCATGTGATGTGAATCCACTTTAAGACACTAAGTTTGCTCCTTTATTATTACGCCTTTCAGTACTGTTTGTGCATTTTTTTTTTCAAAACAGTTTTAGTTTTGTGTTGTTTTTATTGTTTTTATTTTTCCCCTCCTTACTATGCACACTAGAATACTTTTGATACCACATCATTGCATCTGCATAGACAGATAAAAATACTTGTCCTCTGTGTCCAGGCTCAAATTCTGCTAGGCATGAATGGTGTCTCATTTAGGGGCCAGGTAGCAGTTTTAACTCGGGATCACGGTAAGCTGGAGACCTAATATCATATTTTAAAGCTGAAGGGATTTTAGAGGGTTACTTGGCTACATTCAGAAGTGGATTTGACATATTTCAGTATAAAAATAATTGTTCCAGACTCTCATTCATAATCCCGCTAGAAATCAGTGGTGGTGGTGCTGCACATCTGAATGCAGTATAGTGGAAAGGTGCCTGGAATAGTCTCCTCAGTGCATCATGGAGCTGTATGCAGGCAAACAAACCCTTACTTCAGTAGTTTCTCAGTTAGACTGCCTCTTTATATATAAGCTGGCTCAAATGTTTCTGCAAATAAGCTGCAGGCTGCAATGTAGAATTACTTCAAGCATAATTTGGAAAGGCTGGCATAGAAATATGCTCTTGTTATATGTATTCTTGTGCCATAAGCATCATGAAAATTCTTAACCTGACTACATTTTTACTCCTCAACTTCATTCTTAAATTCTGCCTTCCCTTTGGTTTTCTGCTCTTCTTTTTCTGGGATTGAAACTTCTCCCTTCTTGAAGACAACTTGCTTCAGTTTAAGTATAAAAAACTTTAATACTTTGCAGTCATTTGTGTTGGTATATGCCATGGTTGCTCAAAGTAAGTCTGCTCATGTATGTGTTAGGCCATTAAGTGTCTTACTGTTGATGGATTTCTGACTGTAATAGTGTCCTACAGCAGTAGCCCATTGATAGCTCCCCTCCACCTCTTTCTGAGTTCTTAGTTGGTGCCTTGTGAACTTCATCAGCTGCAGGTATCTGGTAACATTGTGAAAATATACCAGTTATTAGGAAGTAGAAACAGCAGAAAGCTGAAGAAACAAAATTACTAGGCATGAAGAGTCCCCTACATAGAAACCCTGTAGCTTTCTGTAAGTGGCCATCTTTTACCTAAACTTGGTTTCCAGAGTTTATAGGACTTCTCACCGAATCCTGAAAGCGCTGCATTTGAAAAATCTGTTTATTGCATTCTTTTTCAGGCAGCAAGAATTATTGCCAAACTGGCTGCTTGGGGGAGGGAACTTATGGAAGGCAGTGACTTGAATTACTATTTCAACTGGATTAAAACTCAGCTCAGTTCACAGGTAAAAAGCTACTTCTGTTTAAACGTTACAGTGACTTTGGAAACTTTTTTCAAGAATATGAATATATAGATGAGGAAACAAAAGGTATATTTTTGGTTTTCTTTTTTAAAATGAAATTTTACTCTGTCACTTTTAAAGCTAAATATCCTTTATTCAAACACATAGTTTTTAACTTAATATTTTATATTATCTACTCTAGTGCTTGAAATAAATTAAAAATAAAATATAAGGCATTTTGCCTTTTCTGCTGGTTAACATTGATTTTTCTTCTGGACACTGAGAAAACATATGATGAAGGTTTTTTGTCTCCCTGTATTGTTTTGTTTCTCAGAGCTTTTTACTGGTAAGAAAATCACGCGGCAGCAGGAAGTGAATATCAAAACTTTCTTCCAGTTTACTGTAGTACAAAGCTTTTGGGTTTAGTCCTGTCTCTTGAAACTAAATAAATCTTGACTTATTTGGACAGTATTTTTATGGCATTAGCTCAGTATGAACTGCTTACTGCTGGCTTGTCCTTCAGAGATGAATCATTCTGCTTTGTATTAATTTTTGGAGATTTTCCCTTCAGTCCTTATCAAAACCCAGCGATATGTGATTCTTTAAGAGGTAGTGTCGTAGCAGAAGTAGATTCTGGAGAGCAGAGAAACATTCAGTAGGTTTAGTAATGGTACATTTTTCATAGTTTTCCAAACTGGGTTTATTGAAAAGGAGTTTTGGTTTTTTTCTCTGGAAGAAGAATCTTAAAGTTGGAATTTCTTTCAGAAAGATTCAAGAGAACAGTCTTCAAATTCTAAGATGATGATGGATAAAAGCCTTGAGTAAATCCACACTTAAATAAAAAAAAATTAAATCCTGATATACCAGGTTCAGCTCCAAGCATATTCTTGTAGACATGATGGTGTGTGGGGGAAATAAATACAATATATTATCATAATATTTTGAGCAAGAAAAGTGTCTATAGATTCTTAATCTTTTTATGACTAGAGGGATCAAAGAATTGTAAAAAAACTTGGTAACTAACAACTGTTCTGTAAGGGTGAAGGACAGCTCTGACTTTAAACTTACATTTTTTTGCTAGAAACTACGTGGTACAGGGGGTTCTGTGGAACCAGGAGCAGTCTCCACAAGTGATGTGAGTATATCTTTGAAATCTGTCAATTTGCTATTTGGGGCAGGTGATACCCACTCCTTGGATTAATGTGCCGAGCTGTTCTGGTGTCAGTAATAGAAAGAACTTGGAATCAGAACTGTACGACAACAGAGTGCCAGGTGATGGCGCCAAGAAACAAAAGTATTTTTAAAACTGATTTCACAGAAAATGCTGGCAGTGGAAGTATGTATTTTGCAAGTTGGTTTGGGTTGTTAAAACTGTAGATGTATCTAGCATTCTCTTTGTTAAAACTTGAAAAAATTATATGCAATTAATTTAGTATTTGAACAATACTGTCTGTTTAGCACTGAACTGTCGGAGTTGTGAAAGAAACATGAGACTAAGAAGCTTTTGGCTCTTGTGATGTGCAGAACTTAGAAAGGGCACATCAGATATTAAACCTAACATTGCCCCTCAACCTCTGTAGCATGAAATTACAAGAGTGCTTTCAAAGCTGTAAGCTTTTCATATTTGAATAGCTTGAATTCAGGGAAAAATGGATTGTCCTTTTCGCATCAGTATTTATTTATACCAAATTTCATGTAGCTATAATGGCTGTTGATCTTGGAGATGAACTGCAGCAGTATAGCAAATGCAAGTGATCATCATAACTGGATTTTCTGTTTTGTTGTGGCATAACAAGGCCATTTATCATAGCTTCTGAATGTGGAGTAGAATTCGGTTTGGTCTTTTGTTTCTTTTGCAACCTGAAAGTGTTCACAATTTTTCAGAAGACTTAAATATGAAGCTGGAATTTGTTTTTCTTCTAAATGTAGTCATCGCTTTAAAGTGTTAGCTTCCTGTAGAGGAAAGCCTCTTAAATTACCACTTGACTGGGGTTTAAAGTAGAAAAGATGAAAGACTGTTAGGCATGACCATAGAGAGGGGGTAAAATTATGGCCTGAGCATAGAAGTTGAAGTATTTCAGTATTTCGTATGCAGTTCCATGTGCCGTACTGGTAGGTTTTGTTAGGCTGACAGCCCTTGGTCATATAGCCTTAAAAGAGTAAATAGTTCTACAGCATGCATCACCACTCATTATGGAGCTGTGAGCTCTTCTAACTTGCTTAGAAATCTGTGTTCATTGTACTGTAGCACTGCATGGATTTATCATACCACTGCAGGGTCCCAAAGCAGCAGAACTGATAGTGCAAATATGTTCTAGGATAATTAAGTTGGGCAGGTACTATCTTGACTTTGTTAGTGTTCTGATTTCAAATCTAGCTTGTGCAGGATTTCCAAGCAGGTCCTGACTAATTTATTTCAGAGTAAATTAGAGATGCATTTGTAGCATTTTACACAGGAAATGAGGGCTGGGATCTATTATGACATTTCAATTATAATAGTGTTGGAAGAGAATGCTTTTATGACAGACCCTTTAAAAAGAAAACTCCAAGTTCAGTAGTACACAGGTTGGTGATGCAGATAAATTAATATATTATTTGGGGCTGTAGGGCTGTAGGTGTGTTTATACCCGTTTTATTTGCATGGTGTACGAGAGTGAATACCTACTCAGGGAAATGAATGTTCTGTATGATGAGTTGGGCCTAGATGTTCAGACTCAGTTTTTACATAAAGGTCTTAATCTCTGATGAGAGGGATAGAATGAATTAATCTTTATTTTAAATTCTGTTTATTGTCTTTTCTCTTCATGTGGGATTGCCTAACTTCTTTACTCCATTAAATGTTTGAAAGATTTGACCTTGTATTATGTGAGTGATCTACCATAAGACTTTCAAGACACTTAGTAAAGAAAAAGGCTTATAGAAAATAAAAAAACTCCAACATTTTATCAGCAGCATATCTCAGTATTAGTGAAGATAATGCCAGAAGTTGAGCAAGAAGAGAGAAAAAAAATGCCACTTCTGTTTGTATCATGAGATCTTTCTGTTGTGGTAGTGGGAGGGACAATGTTTTGGCCAAAACCTATATTTGAACTGCAGTGCATCTTGCGCGTTACTGCACAGAAAACACATGCTTTTAGAGATGAAAAGCTGTTTAATGATTCTGTCTTTGTGACTGTTCTTATAGTAGTCTGAATGAAAATAAGATTCAGTGGTGCATCTCTCAGTGTCTTCCTGATGGGAAAGTTTTAGTTTTATTATTTTTTTCTTAGCAGAGTATACTGTGCTAAGCTTTTAATGAAAAGAAGAAAAAATTAAAATGCGAAGCTAAACTTTGAGGGTGATTTTGCATACTCATTTTTCTAATGGTATTTTTTTTGTATAAATATACATCTCATTATGATAAGCATGGTACTTACTGTGTGGCACATGCATAGGAAAATATATAATTGTAATGACAACACTGCTGTTTTGAGTTGGAGAATGGGAGTGGGAAGAACCTGACCTCAAGATTCCTTTTTCTACAATGACCTCTAGCAAACTTCTTCAAGCTTGGTAACCAGCTTGCTGATTTATTTCCCAAAGTTTGCTCAATGGAATGACAATTGACTCTGTGGAAGAAAGGGCTCTGGCAGTATAATCAAACAGGAGACAGCCTTCATTCATAGATACTGAAAGAAGGCGTGTTCAACTGGGCTATAAAAATCTGTTATGGTAATGTAAAATGGCATCACTTGTATAACAATTCTTTTGTATTCAAAATTCTTCTCCATTTATATTTTGATTCCCACCTTTTCTTGTAAGATTTTTTTTTTTTTTTTTTTTAAATAGGGAAATGTAAGGCATTGTAAGAGTGAGCCTGTTTAACTTGGGAAGTGTCACTGAAGAGGTGTGTGTTGAAGTGTGCCAGTAAAGCCTAGTTTGGAAAAACTGAACTTCAGCACTTACTACCTAACTCTTCCTGTAAGAAGTGATGTGTTCTTCTTTTCACCCAGAGTTCCCAGTATGTACAGTGTGTTGCTGGATGTCTGCAGCTGATGCTCAGGGTCAATGAATATCGCTTTGCATGGGTAGAAGCAGATGGAGTAAATTGGTGAGCATTTATTTCAATTTATATGGATATACTTGCACTTACAATAGCATGTTCCCCAGCGACCTCTTTTGGAATAGAACTCTCTTGCAAAAGACAGCTGCTCTGAGTACAAAAGCTATTTTTTTTTTTTTCCAAATCCTAATATAGTCAAATAGACAAATGAAACTTGCAGATATAGGTACCGACATTGAGGCTTTAATGCTACTTTACTCTTCAGGAAGAACTGCTTAAATAAATATCTGAAGGGGAATACAGCCATTTGTCTTCGGCTGAAGATGCTCTGGTTTTTATTTAATAGAACAAGGACTAATGAAATGAGTTTCTGCTAATTTTCTTTCTCTTTCAGTTTGGAGTTGTTCAGCCTGAAAATGTTAGTGAAAAGAGAAACACGTGCTAGAGCTAAGCTCAAATTTTTTGTTTTCCACCTATGGCTTCAACTATTCTTTTATCCAGATTCTCTTCATAAATAGCTCTGTATGAGGCTAGGATGTTGTCACTCATCTGATTTAAAGAATTGCTTGTCTATAAATAATTTTTCTGCCATGTGTGCCTCTATTGGGGATGGTGGCTATATGACTTGCACTTCAAGAAAAAATATCCCTGTACCCTGAAATGGAGAAAAGTCAAAGCTGCCAGTGAAGTGAAATTTCAAAAGATGTTCATGTGTGTCAAGATGACACTGTTGAAACAAACTTTTTCACCAAGGAAGCTTTTTAATAAACTGTTAAAGCATAACAGTAAGCCAGCATTTCAACACGTTTGAATTTGTCTTAATTTTGATAGCAATGATCTTGAACGTAAGTAATTTTTTTTTTTAAACTGGGTTAGCTTTTTTTGGAACGGACCTGTAAATTGCATATTAAATTTTCGAAACTTCAGATGAACAAAGCTTCTGCATGATTTCTTCTTGGAGATAGTGTGATATTATTTCTTCTCTAGCAGTGCTTTGTGTATCTGTGATGTGTTATATCTATAAGCTGTTTTCTGAGAACTCATTTGTTAAATAATGACTACTTCAGCTCATTTCAGACACTCCATTTAACGAAACAAGTTCAGTTTGTGTAGATTTGTTCTGTCTGTTTGCTCCTTCTCTTTCTTAACTCTGAAGGAGTAGCTATGCGTTTCTGTTTCTCCTAGAATGACAAATAATGCTCTAAACATGCCAGTAGAAAAAGAGTCTTGGTGAACCTGAAGATGGATACAGTACCACATCAGTTCACGTGGGAAAAGCTGCTTTATGGCTGTAACGCTAAGGAGGAAATAACTATGTCTTTAAAAGATGGCTTTCTGAACAAGCTGCTTGAACAATGATAAATACTGGTGCAGGATACTGTGAAGCGTGTGTTGTATACTCATTCTCAACAGCTCGTTCCAATAACTTCCTGTTAACCATTTCTTGTAATGTTTTGGGTGAAGCAATGCAATTCATGCAGTCATTATTTAAAAATTAAATGTATACTATTTTTCAGTATCATGGGGGTCTTGAGCAACAAATGTGGTTTCCAGCTCCAGTATCAGATGATCTTTTGTGTGTGGCTGCTGGCATTTAGTCCTCAAATGTGTGAATATCTCCGTCGGTATAATATTGTTCCAGTGCTGTCAGATATTCTTCAGGAATCTGTCAAAGAGAAAGTAACTAGAATCATCCTTGCAGCATTTCGGGTAAGTGTCTGTTGACTGCAATCACACTGTGCTTCTCTCTCAAATGGGTAGGTCTCCAATGTTGCTGATGCACAGCTGTTTCTGCTAGACTGTTTCAGTAAACTGTATTGAAAGCTTAATTCTCCTTTTTTTTTTTTTTTTTTTTTGTGAACTGAGTTTTGTTACAGGTAATAGACATGCTATTACAAGTAACAGATGTCTGCTATTCAATGTCTTCTTAAAATAAGGTTGACTAAAAACACCTATGTTAACACAGGCACTAGTGATTTCCCTTCTTTAGTTCAAGATTCTTTTTTCTACTGGTACTAGTGTAAAACACTGTAGTTACTAATACCTGATAAATTTTGCCTTGCAAAGCTTTAATTAGAAATACACATATGTGTGTCCAACTGACTGACTTAGAAATTATTTTTATCTACTAGTCCAAAAATCTTTTCTTGGTGGCACTGTCAAGATGAATGAGAATATCCATGTAAGAGTGATTAGCTGACTTACTGTGTCCACGTTACCTGAAAAATCACTGGTCCTATTTAAGATAATTTGGAATGACTGAGCACTGAGGCTTGATGCTTTAATTGTGAGAGTACCAATTCATGTTCATGGATGCTGATTGCGCATGTGCACATAGTTTTACGCGTGCTTGTCAAGTGTCTTGTATGTAATACAGGAATGCTGTAAACACTTCTAATCTTGTTTTTAAAACAGGACTTGGATCCTGAGTAGGAGATGTAGATCTTGGAAACTATTTTCCTGGGTGTTGATTGTGTTCCAGTAGTAGATGTTGCAAGCAAATTAGGGTGGGAGAGGGGAATTGTTGCTTACTGACTCGCTGATCAGCAATAATGAGCTGTGTGAAGGTGCTTACTCTGTGACGTAAATGGTCTCTCTAGCCAAAAGTATCTGCCACTTTGAAAAATTTCTGAATAAGGTAGATCATAAGAATATGGTATTTATCGTGTTGAAGGAGGTCAGTGGTGTGAGGTATTCAGTAGGGGGTATTCTTACTATGTAGACCTCTAGATATTCTAGTGTTCTTTAGGATCTTAATGTTAGGATTAAGCAGGGACATATAGCAAGACAGCTTGGGGGAAAAAAAAAAAGTCAAGGGGCTCAGCAGTTCATATCCAACTTCTTCCAATTCTGAGATCATAAAAAGTAGGAGGAATAATTGTTAGTTCTTAGATTTAGTGTGTTTTGCAAGAGGAGACAAAAACGAAGCCAAGTTCTTTTAATAAATAAAGGCTAAGAAAGAATAAGATGGTTCTGTTAAAGGCTTCAGGGAAATTAATTTAGCTGTTTTCTTTCTCCAACATGGCATGAAAATGAGGTTATAAACTGGCAGCCAGGAAATAATACATTAGAAATTAGACATCAGAGCTGTGAGTTCTGAAGCAAAATTAAAATAGGTAGCAGAGGCAAAATAACCCTCTTCCTGTGTGAGAGGCCACAGTATCAGTTTATGGGAAAAAAAAAAAAAAAGTGAATTGCATAAAGGACAGGGCTTAATGATTTGTCCAGTCATCCCTACTGCCTGTGCGTTACTGAAGGTATGCCGTAAGTCTTGACAGGTTGCATATGTCTTTTCTACTACTCGATTTCTCCAAATTTGACCTGTTTCACTTCTTTGGCAAGTGCACTATGTAATTGTAATGTAATTTTTGTCTATAAAGCAACAGGTATTGGGTATTTCTGTCTACTTCAAATCAATTACTTTCTCTCTTTACCTATTAAAATGTTTTTTTCCTCATTTTTCATATTTTTATTGTCTTTTTTGTCTGTTTCCTACCTGTAACTCATTTTGTACGTTAATTTTTTTTTTAATCACAGAGTAGTTTACTGATCCATTCTATTTAGTCATATGTTCCTGTTTGTACTTTCCTAACATATCCTTTCAATTTCACTATAAAAAGCTTGAATATCTACTATGGTATGAGATAGGTAATAATTTGGAGTAGCTTCCATATCTGCCTATAATTCTCTTCGCTAGGATTTCTCTGGAAACTTTATCTACCTGTTTATATACCTACTCCTTGAAGTGGTTGAATTTTGTCTTTTAAAATTCATTATTTGTTCTTTCGCTTTCATTAGTACTTCTAACTAAGTGATTTAGCATTACTTTCTGTAAATTGCCTTCTACTTCTCAGTTCTTTTACCGAAATAGAAACTTGCTTTTCCTCATTAAAGCTAATTGTATGTAGCCATTAAAAGCAGTAATATGACTTACTTTCAGTATGCAAGTTTTAAGGTTCATTTGCAGTGTTCTGCCTTAATAACGAATATGATGTCTTATATCTTAGAAACCTTAAGTGTAACGGTTCTGTGAAATGAGTGATGCAGTCAAATTCCTTCTATATGGTTTCATTGCTTATTTCTGGTAGATGTTAAGGCTTATTTATATGAACACATGTTCTGTTAAGGACTTTGTCTTTTATACGGAATTCATGTTTTCAGCTTTATCAAAAAGTGCAGGTGGCTAGCTCTGATTGAACAACGTAATTTGAAGCTGATTAAATTGAGTAGAAATGTAATGAATAAATGACATTGGAACTTGACTATTACATTCTGTGCTTGTAATTCCAGTCTTACCAACAAGCTTCTGTTTGAATTAAAAATGTCTAGATGGAATATTCCCAAATTCAAAAGAAACTGATCTAATCCAGACCTTTTTTTTTTATTATTATTATTTTAAGGCTTTTCTGCTTTATACTATTGCTGCACAGAAAGCCAAAATGATAATCGCAGATAAAAGTAGTTGTTTATGGCAGAGACTCTGGAATTTGGGATATAAGCCTGCCCTTTTTCTTTGAATAGTCGTTGTAGTCAGTCCAATTTGATATGGAAAATTATCAAAGCAGGTGAATTAATGCTTTCTGGTTTTGAAGGTAGCATACAATCTAGGAGGAAAAAGGTCTAAGTGACCTAAACTTGAATGCAGTGGTGGTTGTCCTTTTCAGCACATATGGTTGCATTACTTCTACCTTGCAAGACAGAGCCTTTTTTTTTTTTTTTTTTTTAAAAGATCCTCTTCATCTGCTGTAGTGGCAGATATTAATACTCCTCCTGTGTAGTAATGTCAGTTCTATGCAATTTATGCTACTAAATGTAGGGTAAAGCAGCCACTGTGTGGTAGACTCATGCTTTGCTTCTTTGAAGAGATTGTTTCGGGAAGTGGTCAATTCTGTCACTTTCTAAATTAAAAAGTGCCAATAAGAATTTCTTAAAAATACCAGAAGTAGTCTGTTCTTCAAACAAACAAAATAAATAAATTTTTACTTTCCTAGAATTTGTTAGAGAAATCTACTGAGAGAGAAACTCGCCAAGAATATGCTCTTGCCATGATTCAGTGTAAAGTTTTAAAGCAGCTAGAGAATTTGGATCAGCAGAAATATGATGATGAAGACATAAGTGAAGATATCAAATTTCTACTGGACAAGCTTGGTGAGAGTGTGCAGGACCTTAGGTATGCTTTGCAGTGTGAACTTTAAAAAAAATGCAATTATATGAACATTGAAATTTTTTTTTTCTTTTTTAAGGCTAAATAATGTACAGGATTATGATACGTAAGTGCTAGTTGGTAAGGTGGAGCATACAGAGATGCTGGTTGTATATATAAGTTTCCTATTCTAAGTATTTGCAGGCTGAATAGAAAATCTTCACTTCTTGGATGTGTGATCTTTGTAACTGATAAATTGATAAAGGACTTCAGTTGGATCTCATAGGAGTTCCAGTCTATGCCGAAGACTACCGAATTAGAATACATTTTGCTGTCCAGATTAACTCAAGTTTTTTCTAGTATTTACCTAGTTCTTGCTCTTGTGCATAAATTGAACTGCACGTTGTAGTTCATGTCAAAGGTTGAATTGGATGAGAGGCAAGTACTGGGATCCTTGGTTGGGGAAGTTTAAAACCTAGATAACAGGCAAAACAGCCAGTTAAATTCCCAAATGTTGTGGTGGTGTGGCTTGGGTTTTTCCTCTGCGTTTTGTTTGGGTTTTGGTTGGGGTTTTTTGGGGGGTTTTTTTGGTTTGTTTGGTTGTTTTTTTTTCCCTTCAGGAAATGAGTTTTGGGGTGGATGGAGGAGGATGTTTGAAAACAAATTTTTCTCTTGCCTTTCATGCCTTATTTTTAAAGTGTTGAACTCCAAGACAGGGAACAGTTCTTATGCTCAGCAGAGAGCTGACTTCCAAATGTGTCACAGCAAGTTGTGCTCCAGCTTTGTGTGGCTAGGGACAGGCTTGGGCGTGCAATTCAAACTCTGTTCATAGAAGCTTAGCCAATATTTCATTTAGGTCTTTTGTGTTGCAGCTCCTTCGATGAGTACAGTTCTGAGCTCAAGTCAGGAAGACTGGAGTGGAGTCCTGTACACAAGTCTGAGAAATTTTGGCGGGAGAATGCTGTAAGACTAAATGAGAAGAATTATGAACTACTCAAGTAAGTTTTCAAGTCTTTAGTCACGTAATTCTTTAATACTTTCTGTGTTTAACTGAACCCATATCTAATACAAGTTTTACATTTCAACATGAAGTAATGTCTAGAATGAAAGCAAGTCAGAACATCTTGCTATTTTTAGAATGTATGGCCTTACTCATCTATGGTTCATTTTGTTCAAAAGCAGAATTGTTTATTTGCTTTTAGTCATCAAAATATATTGATGACGATGATAGAAGGAATACCTGTAGCTTAACTTGCATGCAAATTTGTGCCGTTGACTCCTTTCATGCTTTCACTTGAAAAAACAGCTATACTGAGGTAATTAAAATATTTTTACCATACCTTAGTCTTAGTTTTGTGTTGTGTGTTGTTGATCTGAGTAATGAACTCCTGTCTTGAATACTTGGGAGTTGAAAGTTGCGGCACTGTTCCATGGAAAATCTGACTTGCAGCATTATGTTGCAGTCTGTCTATTTTGTCTTGGGACTGTGTTTGGTGTATGTAAATTGTTAGATGAAGTGAAGCTGAAGCTTATATTTCCTTTTGGAGTCAAGGACTTATTTGCTGGCTTATGAAGGTATGTACTCAAAAGATGTCTAGGTCTTAAATAGCTTGTAGGAGCTCCTAGTTGTTTAACTGCATTGTCATTAACTGATAACACGTGGTGTCCTTCCTGTTCAGTATTGGCTAATAAGTGCCAGACCTAACAGAAATGAGGAGGTCGAGCGGAGCATGTGAGATGTTAGAAGGCGTGGCAAGAGCAAGCTGATCCTGAGCTTTATGTGCATTTCAGTCTGCCCTGAAACCTCACCAAACAAGTCTGATAAATTCCTCCCTGAGGGCATATTGCTAAATATGTAGGATTATAGACTTAAAAATTTGAGATGCTGCCAACTGCAACATGAAGTTGATGTTGAAGCTTAGTATTTCCTGTAGCAATTACACTGTTTTACTGTACTCATCTCTCCTGGTTCTGGGACTGTTAGGTAAATTTATTGTGCTTGTGCTGCCACAAAGACAGCGATCTACAATAGTTCCTTTAAAAAAAAAAAAAGAAACCCCAAAACAAACTGCCTCTCCCACAGTGTGGTGGGGAGATTCTTGTACCTCAGAACTTCTCTTCTGCGTTGTAAGACATGTGACAGACAATCCTTTCTTTGCTTCAAGCCACATCATTTTATTTCCCCTTAACTGCCAGCTTACTTGTTTTCTAGCTCTAATATACCTAAGCTTACTGTTAAGCTTACTTTTTTTCCCTGCCTTCCACCATTATTGACTTCTTAAGCAAGTGATGCTATATTTTGTTCAACAATATTGTACGGATATTTAGTAAATTCTGATTAGTGTTATGGTTCAAGTTTCTGCTCCTACTTCTTGTTCAAATTAGGAGTTCTTTTAAAATGAAAAGTGCTTCATCTGTCACCTTCTGCGCTCTAGAGAGGTAGTGGCTGTGGTAATTTAATTTTACAGAATGTTCTTTTTTTAATTCCAGTTGAATTTTTAACCTGCCTACCTATTTCAACTTGTTACTAACTTTCTGTGATTAGAACATGTTTGTCATCTCACTAAATGTAGATGAATCTAATTTTCCAGTGATCTGTATGTTTGACCTTTTAAACTTACTATTAGTGCCTAACCTTCTTATCTGTGTAATTTCAGCCCCCCCCCCCCCCTTCTCATTACTGGCTAGAAAAGTGTTACTGGTAGCTTTTTTCCACTAAAACTGATTAAACTACTTCATTAAAAAATGCAGATAATATTAAGAGTTGAGGAACTGTTTTCTAATTCTTACAGCTCTGTATGTCTGTTCATGCTAATAAAATAACTAATATATAAGATTGGAGTCAATTACAAGGTATAGCTTTCATCATCTCAGTCTTTGAGTTAGGACAGAACTGCTTTTTAGACCACAGCAGCTGACTGAACTAGTGATGTTTTTGAGATAAAGTTGATGGTCTTGAACCAAGAGAAGTTCACAGTTGCACAGACCAAAGAACTCGGTGTGCTGCTTTGTTCTCAACTGCTAGGATGCCTTTTAATTTTTAAATGACTCTGTATAACAGTGTTCTGCATAAAATTCTGCCCTTCTTGTCCTTCTCTCCTGCATTGAGCCAGGCTGCCGTTGTAAGGTGAGGGGAGGAATGGAGTTGGGGAAAGGCTGATAGATAGCAGGCTTGTCATACCCCCCTTGCTTTGTCACGAGCAATGTGGCCTTACTGCTTTCTGAATCCATAGTGCAGGATCCATAGTGCAGGAGCTGGGAACAGCATGCAAGCATGACTGGGGTCTATTGTGTAACAGAAGCAGCAGCATCTGTTGGCCTTGTGTAGGCTTTGTGTTTGTGTCCCACCCCTGTCCCAATCTATAAATATTTATATGTTTGGTCAGTACAGTTATCTTGAACTCAAAACTTGTTAATGTTGAAGCCAATGTGTAAAAAAAGGAGATATTTTGTAAACCTTGGTTATAGGTATTTGTAGATGCGGCTCACTAAACTCACTCTAGTGAATGCTTTTAATAATTCTGTTAATTAAGGTGGGATCTCCATTGGTTTAAGTGCAACTGCGCATTCGAAAAAAGTTCTGTTTTAGCTTTGCTGTTTGGGTGACTTGTAAAGCATTTCTATTGTTACAGGCTTTGTTATTTTAAGTTATCAGTGATTTAAACAACAACGAAGAAAACCCAAAACAACCAAAAAACCCCAAACCAAAATCTGGGACTTGATTGTCTCAAATCCTTTCCTAGAATCCTGACGAAGCTTCTGGAGGTTTCTGATGACCCACAAGTGCTGGCTGTAGCTGCTCATGATGTGGGAGAATATGTACGACACTATCCCCGTGGGAAACGGTAAGGAAAATGCCAGTATGTTGTTACTCCAGAGACTAGCTAATATACTAGAGTATTTACTTTGCCTGTGGATTTTCTGCTTATTTATATTAAAATATGCTACATAGGGATTGCAGGTTATGCTTAAGTTTAATTCACTGGGAAGGTGAGAAAACACTAACTAGATCAGATGAGAAAAAACACAGTAGATCTTTGACTTAATATATTTCAGTGTCTCTTAATGGTGAAGGGAACCTATGTCAAAAGAAGTCCTGAATAAGTTGTTTAGACTAAAGCAGAAGATATGCACCAGAAGTTGGAAGAGCTATCAAGAATTTAATCAACTTATCATTTTTACCCTCTGTTATGACTATTGGACTATAATTATTGGAATTACAGTAGGGAGGGACTGTTTCAACAATGATTAAGTCTATTCTGTGACTTAAGACTGCTGAGACAAGATTTTTGTCACAAACAATTGGTATTGTAATTTCAGTGATGTTAGCACAGATTCAGTTACCGCTCTTCTATTTTAGCGTGTTTTCTTTTAGCTACACAAATACACATTTTGATGAAAGTGTTAATGTTTATTGTAAACCTGAATTCCTGTCAAAATATACAGACAGACATTGCTATGTTTTCTTGCTTTGTTTTGTTTTAAAAACCTGTGAGCAAAGATATTTGCTGAATAATTGTATCTCTAAAGTAAGACCACCACTGAAGCAGAAAAGGGCCTTTGGTTTTTGCAGGAATCATGCTCATCAGTCACCTAAAGGGACATCTGACTTAATTTTTGTAGCAAAGAAGTGGTCGGTTTCTGCATAGGGTTTAATGGGTAAGATGAAAATGGTCTTTTAGGCTTGTTGGGAATTTCATGAACACTTCTTGTGCAGACTACTATCTTGACAGTAGTAGAATCATGAACAACAGACTGAAACTTCATGCCGTATATATGCTAGAAACATTTGTTCGCTCTAGAAAGACAGCCCTTGTAGTCCTGTAAGCAACTTGAACTGAAGATGTTTTTAGATTATTGGAACAAATTAACAGTTTTCTAGGTCCATTAAGAAAGGTCAGAGGTGTTCAAGTGTGTACCACTTGTACTGAGCAGTGCTGTGTATTTGCTAATTAGCTGGTGTCTTCCAGAAGAGATTTCAGACAACTGGTATTTGGAGGGAGGCAAGATATCCTCCAATAAGGTGGAAACTCATACTGCTGCCTACAAATGGCAAAGCTGAAGGACTAATACTGGTTGCTCCTGCTTTGAGCTGCCCTTTGTCTGAAACCATTTTATTAGGTGTTTGCCATAATTTTTTCAACAGCTTGCACACATCTACCCAAATGTAGCATAATGCTTGGGCTAGTATGGCCATGCAGTTGCTGGACCAAAGCTATGAAGTCAGATGAGTGGATAAACAGGACCTGTATTTCTCTGTCTGTAGTTGGGAAAATGTACTGCTGGCAGGATCACACCTCTGCATAGCTCCCAGGCTGTTAAACCTATTCAGACGTGCATCAACCTTCAAAAGGAGTGGTCATCAGCAAATAAGAAGTGTCCTAGATACTATTCTAACCCACATTTCTTATATCAAATTCTAATACTTTAGCTGTTTTCTGCTTACAGACTTGGTTTATTTAGCTTTCTGTTCTGATGGACAAACTAAAATGCCTCAATCTTTCTTTTAAAGAATTTAGTTTGCAATCCAGTGTACTGCTACAAAGTATGACTTCAGCAATTTTAGGACTAAAAGCTTAAAATACCCAAGGACTGTGTGTTGGTTCCCACGTAATAGTCTATTTCTTACCATGATGGTTTTTGATGTATAGTCGTTTACTGCTCCCACGCTTGGTTGGCATTTCACACTCTCATTGCATGACTCACTTTGAGAGTGGATGCTATTAATTGGTTTAGAAGAATAAGAGAATTCAAATGTCTTAAATACTTTTGTTTCGTTTAAGTGTTTATCCTCAACTCTTAACTGGATCGTTCTTCAGCCTTTGAAGGCTGCAGAGGCAAATTAGAACCTAAAACTTCTTGAGTTTACCCGCTGCACACAGCGGAGACCTAGGGTTACAGTTCTGGCTAACCTTTCCCTTTGTCTGACAAAAAAAAAAGTTTGTTAAACTAAATAGTACATCTTTGCTTGGCTGTTCTCTAATGTTGTCAGCTTAAATAATTTTAACTTGCCTTTCAAAATTGCACATTGTGGACCAAGTTCTCAAGGCAATAGCACCGCGGGCTTCTAATGAGGCTCAGCAACATGCATTTTCTGACAATGTAACAGCAGAAATAAAGTATGGCATTGGTGTTTCCTGTCACTGAAAATAAAAGCAGGCTAAATGTCAGCCTCCAGTACAACTTCCATGTGGCCCCAAGGGTTACTGCTATGTAAGTTCAACACTTTCAATCACTTGAATGCCGTGAACATGGGTTTTATGTTTTGCATGTGCAAGAGATTGACACCTAGAGCCATTCCCTTTTTTAGCTCATGATTCAGGAACAGCTTAAATGCATTCCCTTTTTCACCTTGGTCTGCTTTTAGATATGTAGCGTGGATTTTATATTAATATTTTCTGCTACAACAGTCTAAACTGTTCTCATTTATCTTCATCTTCTGTCTCCTCTTTCTCTCTTTAAATGTGTCATGGTAAAGTCTGGCTTTTGAGCATCTAGAAACTTGCTTGAATTGCCATTGTTTTGGCTTAGTGCACTGTTTTTATGGGGAACAATCCCTGCAGAAGATGTGCACGTACCATAACTGGCCCACTGGGCTCTATTACTGCTGTAAAGTAAGCAGAAGTTGAGGAGAGGGAAAACAGAACTAAAAGTAGTGTTTTGAGCAGGTTTGGAACTTGAAGGAACAAGGTTCACTGTGAATGTTCCTCACAGTTGCTTACCTTTTGGTCTAAAACACTTGTCTGGGAAGTGATTTGTACCAGTAGGCAGTGTTATACAAAAATGGTAACGCTGTTCTTTGACTCTTCATATTCACAGTCATAATTTCCGTGTTATACTGTCATCTGAAATATTCTTACCATTTGTGATTATAGGATTTTAACTTTTCATTTTGATTCTTGTGTGCTCCTAGTGTAAGGAAGCTTTTGAGTTTAATGCCTTTTCTACTTCCTTTCAACTCCTGAAATTTCAGTGTTTTAAGTCAGTCCTATAATAAGGAAAAAATTCTTGTTTGTGTTTCATAGTCTTTGTGTGCAGTGGTTTTATATTTAACTCATGATTAAAAGAGTGAGGCAGCCTAAGGCAGGTATAAAGGTTTTTTTTTTAATCTGTTACATTACTAATAACTTCTTGAATTCTTGGCGAGGATTTTCCAGCTTAAAACAATTGCACTCTTCTGATTGCATTCCTGTTGTGTGAAACATCCTTAAATGTTTTAATATTGTTGGGAAATTATATTCCCTGTGGTCTTCCGGATGGTTTTGACTGAGTTATAAAATTAAATGGGAAATTCTTTTTCATCTCCACACTATGTCTTTATACCTGTTCTGCAGTTTACAAAAACATGTTGTGTTGTGCAGCAGTAATGTATTAATTTGGCCATGAAAAGAACAGTAATAAAAGCAGATAGCTAATGCAAGCTTAGAATGGCAGGATAGCATCATGTTGAGTAATACAAATGACAGCCTCTTCACAGCGTATTGTTTAACTACTCAGTGACCTGTGAGTGAACCGATGTTTAAAAAAAAAAAAAAAAGGCAAGTTGGTGAGTAACCAGTTTATATATTCCTATTCCTTGCAAATTCTTTCCAAACTTTCTTTGTTATGACAGACCAAAATGCTGCATGTAAAGAGTCATCTGGATGGTGATACTTTTTCAGGTTTTAAGTGTGTTGCCTTCCTCTTTTTTTTTTTTTTTTAAAGAAATGATATATTCATAAAACGTGATACAAGGTTTCATCAGTATTTCACGTGGGATTTGGTATAGCTATAAAAAAAGCTATGGCTGACTACTGTGGCAAAGTTTGTAGTGAAAGATGCAGCTCAAACACATCGATTTTTCTGGAAATGGTAACTGAGCAGCCAGTTCTGCATCTTGTGCAAGAATAGCTGTGGCTGTAGTACAGTTTGAATGGCAAAAAGCACTATGAAGAGTACCAGGTGGGTGGTTTAATAGGTGTTGGTGTGATTAGAAGCAATTTTTCTGGATTAGGCAGTGCTGGACTGGATTGAGGCTTTAATCTTGGGAAAAGAAAAAAAAAAAAAATGGAGTGACTTGGTTATCATCAATTTATGGAGGGGAGAGCACTACCTCTTCCTAAATAATAATTGATAGTGCTGCACACTGCCAACCCAGTCAAGCCAATACTGAGTTCTTCCTTTAGCAAGCTGGGTAAAGTAAATGACCCTCTCTGAAGAGGGCACCTTCCTTGGTTGTTGTTTATTGCAAAATTTATGGAAGAGGGTAGTAGGTAGCAAATAGGAGTCCAGTATGAATACTTCCTGATACTGTGAATTCTTTGGGGAAAAAAAAATAACCCCAGGAGATAGTATGAGATCTGCATTTGTAACATGTCAAATAAGAAGTATATGTTAAGAAATAAATACTTTTATTAAAATAAATACTATGTGACTTAAACTTAACCTCTTAATGCCTTGAACATGAAGTAGTTGGATAGGATAGATACTCAGAAGCTGAAGTAATGTCAAAAAACCTGCTCTATTCCTCTCTTTCAGAGTGATTGAACAACTTGGTGGTAAACAGCTGGTAATGAACCACATGCATCATGAAGACCAACAAGTTCGTTATAATGCACTATTGGCTGTGCAGAAGCTGATGGTTCACAACTGGTATGTGAAGATTATTTAACATACTACTAACAGTAAGAAATATTGTGTGTGGAGAGAGGACTCAGGGCAGATTTCTTTAAGGGGGGAATAACATTTTTATGTGGTAAGACTGCAGTTGTTAAATGATAGAGCAATATGATGCTAATGTGTATGATCTTAGCTAGTTTTCCTGTGTATTTTGGTTGCAGTTGAATTCAGTAGCTTCACCTGGCATGACTGAATGTCACATGAGTAATTCACTTGAACAGTATATTTTAACTTACTTGAACTAGGCTTGTACTTGTTCATGTACTTAATTGGCAGTTGCTTTGCAGAATGCATGCCTGACCATTCTTTTGCATTGCTGTTCTTTGCTGTAGTCCTTTCCCCTACTCTACACTGTTATTCTTCTGTTGCACCCCTTAAAATGGCAAGTACAACTTTTCTTGAGCTCCTGGAGTAGCAGAAGCTTATGGGCTGGTTGGTTAGATGAAGTTGAAAATCACTCGCTGGTATCTCTTTCATTAATTGCTGAGAACAGCATTTGAAATGAGGTTTTTCTTTCATTGTTTGGTGACTAGTTCTCCAACGAAGCTCCAAAAACCCTGAAGTCTTGGCATGTTCTGCCACAGAACTTGCTGGTGGCTGATGCTGCCTTTCCAACAGAGCATAGGACCTTTATAGTGAAGCACTGAAGGGCTGAAGTTTTGAAAAAACTTCAGTGTTCATATAACAACTTTATATAACTTGCCAAACTAATTAGGTATGCTAGGCATAAAGCATGGGGAGTTAAAAATACTAATTAGGAATTCTTAATCTGATTATTAATTAAGATTTCACCAAAGCTCATATTTGCAATTTGCCTTGGAGAAAGATAAAATGCAACAGTACATCTGAGTACATTAGAACATAGATGTTGAGATACAAACAACTAATTTAATTTTGAACTTAAACAACCTTTTATTTCTCAAAAGCTTGGTGCTTGGAAGTACCTATAACTTCTGTTAGTTTTCTTGCTTCTAACACAATGTGATCTTTTTAAAAGGCTGAGTAGTGATGACGTGAAAGTGGTAGAGGAACAAGGTTTATCAAGCACATTCTGACAGGTTAAGTCACCTACTTGCTGTAGAAGACAGGCTAGCAAGGCTGACAAAAAGCTCCTGTCCCTTCTCTGCAGTGTATCTTCTGTAAAACAAAGCTAGTTTTCCCCCTTTTCTTCTGAAGAATGTGGGTTTTAACTCTCGTCCATGTTGTTATATTAATTTTATCCTGCTTCCTCCCTATCTCATACTGTGGGAACCTTCTATAGCAGAGAAACACACATTTAAAAACCTACTATGACAAATCCAGAGTTAATATTTTCCACCTGTAAGGAGGACTTCGGTAAATAACATTGAATTTCTGAGTGTGTGGAGATGGAGACCAAATGTGTGGTCATGTGCAACCTAATTTTGGGTCATTATTGTATATTACACTCCACCGTGCTTCTCAGCTTGGTGATAGCCTTCTTTTCTCACTATGCTATTCTGATATATTTGAAGCATTCTGAGTATTATAAACTGGCTATAGCTAAATAGAGATTACCATGTGGAAGGCTTAGTTACTCAATTTACCTTCTGCAGAGGGGCCAGCTCTTATTTCATGTGTGTTCTGATGTCTTGAAAATCTGGTAATAAAAATATAAAACTCTGGTCTTTCTCCAGCACAAACCTCACTGCTGGTAAAAGCTTTCCTGGATGCCTAATCTGGCTTTTTCTCATTTTCAACCTAAGGATACTAATTTCAAAAACATCACCTCTGGTGTTCCAGGTTTGTTTTATTTTTTAATGTTATGAACATTTCTGTGCCTGTTTTTCACAGTTTGTGAACCTTTAGACTTGAGACTGAGATTGCAATTACATCTAGTTTAAGATCTTCAGAGGTGTGAATGAAGAGGATCTGTTTAAGTTAGTGCCATTTTCAGATTCATATTGTCATCTCTTGGAACAAGCCTCTGGGACACATTGTCCTTGGCTCGTATTTGCCAAAGCAGTGTTCCCCCTGGAGTGGACATCAGATAGCTTAAGCTAAGGAGATGACACATCATGTGTGTGTGGGAAGCTAGATCTGTCTTTGTATAGATCTGGCTTTTGATGTGTGTCAGGAGCTCTTCTGTTTCATAGCTTGTGTGGGGAGAAGAGAGCAGAGTCCCCTGACTGCTGCACAGTGCAGTTCAAGTGCTTATTTAGCTTTGCTTTGTTATAAGACGGATTTCTCAGCAACTTCAAGGTTTTGCTTACCTTGATCTTCAGAGTTAGGGAAGAAATAAGCATTTTTTCCCCTTGCTTTCATGTGTTTTGGAATTCCAGTTATTTCACTCAAAGCAATTGGGTTTTTCCTTGAATTCAATTGGCATGGAACAACTCTGCATTACTATCTTTGACACATCAAGACAGAAGTAGTCAGGCTCTTCCTAGATCTGGAGGCTAACTGAGAGAAGGATTAGAAAATAAAGGCTTGCTCTGCCAGGCTGAGGCTTGGTGCAAGTGCTGTGCCCGGAGCAGCAGAGTACGGAAAACTTCTGGTACCTGAATCGAGGGAGTGTCATGGGGCAGCTGAAGTGGCATTCTGCAACTGTAACATTAGACTGCTAATAACTCGACTTGGAGACAATTAACTCCTAAGTAATTTGAATAGTTCATTACAGGCTGCTCAACTGGCTTTTCCTTAGGGGTTTTCTTAAGTCATGGATAAATGGGGGGAAATCAGACTGTCAGGCATTCTGTTAAATGGTGAAGCTAGGTTGGCAAAAGCAGTAACTGCTGTCAGCTTTTCAGATGAGGTAAGTTCAGGTGAAATATTCCAGTTACATTTGCATGTTAAGTTATGCACTTGATGAAGCAGAGAGCAAAGGTACCTTTTTAGCATCACTTAGTGTCTTTAAATGGTGATTAATCCTGTGTTTTAATCTCATGTGAACTAACTGTGTTAGTTGTGGCACCCCATGCTGATTGTAAAAACCTATTATTGGCAGATGGGGGAGTTTGGCATGGCAATGATGATGCAGATTTTTTGTGTGTCCTGTTCAATTTGTGCTTTAACTATGTACAAGAGACATCATCTCCTTATTCCTTGGCTTTGCTGGTGTTCAGAGGCAATACCCAACTTGGCGATTTTAGTATTAGAAACTGATTTTGGGAACCTAGTGCTGGTTGGAGCAAAGTTTTTAATGATGCAGACTTTAGAAGAATCAAATCATTAAGTTCTAAATGGACAGCACTTACATATATCACTTTAAAGAAACCCAATATACTAATCTGTACAGATGAAGTACGTGCCTTTCATGTGCTTCACAGCACAGCATTTTACTGAACTTCTGGGATGGAATGTTGTGACTCAAAGCACCCACAGTTAGAACCCCAGATTCCTTCTGTGAACAACAGAGAGAAGCAGGCTGTTTTTCAGGGCAGTGCAGAGGAGCTTCAGTGCCTGAAGTTGAGCAGTGGGAGTAATCTTCTGTCTTTAAGATTTGTGAACCTATAGTCTCCTGGCTTCATTCTAAAGGGGTTAATTCCAGCCTTCTATTACTTTACTAAAGTAAGAGATAGATGAAGAGCTAGGTGAATTCTAGATGTTCTGCATTTAATGTGTAATTTATTTATGATCCTACTGGTCATCTAGAGCATAGTGCATTAGTTTCCACCACTTGCTTGTCTTCTAGCCAGGTTAGGCCCAGGAAAGTTTGCTCATGACTCATGTAGATAAGTGCAGCACATTACTTTTTTTCGTGCTCCGTCAGTAGCAGTGCTCTTGGGAGTTGGGGGCCAGAGGTCAGAGATAAAAGAGAATTGTTACAATATCCAGTTTAGCAGACATGTGCAGAGATGGATCATGTGTGCTCTTTGTTCATGCAAACATAAAGTAAAATGCAGTGGCTTAGCTTCTGTAGCTCAAATGTTCTTCAGCATTCATGCAAGTGCTACTGAAACCATAGTGGATCTGATTGCAAGCTTGTTTATTTTTCCTCTGGCTGAATCAGGGTAATGGCAGAACTCATAGCATCTTTTGGCAGTTGCTCCCATTGACTAAACTACTGGAGTGTGTTGCCCCACCTTTCTGCTTATGCTGTAGTAGTGAGCTGCTGTTAGGGAGGGATTGCATCTCTTACCTCTGGGCTCAGGTCTCATGCCTCATCTCCCCAGGGTCCTTTCACCCGGGCAGGCTCTGAGCTATAAACTTCCTTTAAACAGCCAGACTTTTAGAATAAACTGCTAGTCAATGAATTGATACTGACATGGAGAGTATGAGTATGTTGGCGGATGCTAAACGGTGGGAGTTAGGATGCATCGTTGATGCATGTTCAAGTATGGTGTTGGAAGTAAAATTAATAAATGGCATACTCAATGAAGCAACAAATTCGGATAAGCTTTGAATATACAACAGATTCATATATGATTTTCAGAGTGCACATCCCAGACAAAATTACTTGCTTACCATCTTTTAAAATGACTAGTTATGCAGAGAGACATTAAAATCTGAAACTGCCTAGGATTTGCAGTATGCTGTATTTAGAAGTTGTTGTTCTATAGAGTTAGCACTGAATATTCAGCATTTGCCACTATTATTTGGTATAAACTTTGTTCTGTAAAGTCCATGTATCTCCTAAGATACCTTCTGTACCATGCTCGCTTTTGAGGAGAGAGATTGTGTCCCTGATAAAAATTAATTTTTTTTTTGAGAGGACCGTTCCTAGCTAGAATGAGACAAGTTAGGCAAAAATCCAATTAGTTATAGGCACACTTGATATCTAGTATGAGTGCTCCATCTTTTTATTTGAACATAAATATCTATTCTTGTAAAGCTTCATTCCATACAGGTAGGGACTGTGGTTTGTATTGTGCATATGCTTTCCAGGATTTCACACTGTGATCATGTTTTCCCTTATGAGATCTGCACTCTTTGTAAAACACGTGGAGCAAATATTTTGCATATATCCAACATCCTGCTCAGTTTGCATTTTCTTTTTTCAAAGAAATTGTTCA